GGGGCCCCATGAGATGCCCCTGGTACCTTTTTCATAGGCTTTTTTGAGTTTGGGCAAGGACACAGGGGCCCCATGATCCCCTATTGCCCGGGGGCCCAATGAGTTGTCAGTCTGCCCCTGGATAGCAGCATCCACACAGCGGTTTCAATAAAAAAAGTTTTATACAATAATATGAGGTTGTCCGTTTTCTGTACCAGTAAAGTCCCATTTGGGTTTTTTGTGGTTCTTTTCATGACAATTACAATATGACTTGTGTAGCAATTGTATACACTATAGTAATATTATTATAATTTATTATTTATTATTATATATTATTATTATTATTATTATTATTATTATTATATTATTATATATTATTATTATTATTATTATTTATTATATATTTATTATTATTATTATTATTATTATTATAATATATTATTATTATTCATCATTATTATTATTATATATTATTATTCATTATTATTATTATTATTATATATTATTATTTATTATTATATCCTGTATAAATCCTGTCTAATAATTATAAAAAAAAAATTTTGCTAAGAAAGTGGAGTTACCCTTTAAGGGCTTTTTATTAAAAATGTGTTGCGTCACGGGCGGTACTACGGTACACTCCGACAATTGATTTTTCTGAACTTCTCCTGAATGAAATTCTACCCGTGTTTGACCAGTGTAAGTTTCACCTTCCTCCGGAGGCCAATTCTTTCTGACAATTTCTTAGAAAATTGTGCACTGTACCTGACATCCCCTTTAAATTTGCATACCAGTTGGGCTGCCTTGGATGAAGAAAAAAAGTCGACTACAAAAAAAAAGATACATTTTTTGCTAAGAAAGTGGAGTTACCCTTTAAGGGCTTTTTATAAAAAATTTGTCGTGTCACGGGCGGTACTGCGGTACGCTCCAACAACTGATTTTTTTTTCCGAACTTCTCCGGAATTAAATTCTCTACCCGTGTTTGACCAGCGTAAGTTTCACCTTCCTCCTGAGGCCAATTCTTTCTGCCAATTTCGTAGAAAAGTGTGCATTGTACCTGACATCCCCTTTAAATTTGCATACCAGTTAGGCTGCCTTGGATGAAAAAAAACACGACTACAAAAAAAAAAGATACATTTTTTGCTAAGAAAGTGGAGTTACCCTTTAAGGGCTTTTTATTAAAAATTTGTCACGTCACGGGCAGTACTACAGTACGGTCCAACAACTGATTTTTCCGAACTTCTCCTGAATGAAATTCTACCCGTGTTTGACCAGCGTAAGTTTCACCTTCCTCCGGAGGCCAATTCTTTCTGCCAATTTCGTAGAAAATTGTGCATTGTACCTGACATCCCCTTTAAATTTGCATACCAGTTAGGCTGCCTTGGATGAAGAAAAAAACATGACTATCTCTTTTTTTTTGTAGTCGTGTTTTTTTTCTTCATCCAAGGCAGCCTAACTGGTATGCAAATTTAAAGGGGATGTCAGGTACAATGCACAATTTTCTACGAAATTGGCAGAAAGAATTGGCCTCCGAATTTTTTGCTAAGAAAGTGGAGTTACCCTTTAAGGGCTTTTTATAAAAAAATTTGTCGCATCACGGGCGGAACTACGGTACCAGGGGCGGACTGACTATTTGGGAACTCGGGGCACTGCCCGAGGGCCCAGGGTCAGTAGGGGGCCCCATGAGATGCCTGGTACCTTTTTCATAGGCTTTTTTGAGTTTGGGCAAGGACACGGGGCCCCATGATCCCCTATTGCCCAGGGGCCCCATGAGTTGTCAGTCCGCCCCTGTACGGTACGCTCCGACAACTGATTTTTCCGAACTTCTCGTGAATGAAATTCTATCTGTGATTGACCAGCATAAGTTTCACCTTCCTCTGGAGGCCAATTCTTTCTGCCAATTTCGTAGAAAATCGTGCATTGTACCTGACATCCCCTTTAAATTTGCATACCAGTTGGGCTGCCTTGGATGAAGAAAAAAAGTCAACTACAAAAAAAAAAAGAGAAAGACAGAGCAGAGTCCCGCCCCCCTGCCAACACCTGACAAAAAACACTTTAAATGGATGGCCGACTTCTGAAGAAGACTTCCCAAAAGCTCGCAGGATATGCGCGCTAATGAGAAGGATGGATGGGGATCGCCTCTAATTGCAGGCGAGGGGTGGCCCTCAGCGGGTTCGGCTTTGAGATGGTGTCTTGTAATTACGGGCGAGTGAACTGGTTTAAGCCGGAAAAAAAAAAAAAACAGGCTGTTAACGTGTCATAGGGAATCAGCGTCTCCGCCCGGCGAAGATTCCCCGCACGCGGCTTCTCGCAGTCAGCCGTGTCTTAAAGCATTACGCCGAGGTGTCGGACCCGGTGATCTCAGACGGGAGCTCGGCAGAGATCAGGGTGGGCGATCGGGGATGTAACTGAAGCTAGGCTATCGCTTTCATCTCCACGGCTTAGAAGGTGAACTCACGTCAAAACGAAAAAAAAAACGAACGACCGCAGGAACGCAGCACGCCACCCTCCCGCTGCGGCGGCTGCAGCACGATCAGTAACCTGGTTTTCAGTAAATAGAATCTCCTACTGTAAGTTCAGAAAAAGGGAAAATGTTTGTTTCCTGATGATGATGACAAAGCGGTTCACGACCGCGAGCAAAACAGACCCATGTGACCCGAGGCTGCAGACCCCATAAGAGGTCCAGTGAACAGCCATCATTCTGGGGAGCTTTGCGGTATAAAAATCAAGGTTAACCCCTCGCCCTCCAGAGGAAACCCCTCCCCCCCTTTCCTGACCAGACTATTTTTTTTTTTGCGATACGGCGCTGCGTTACTTTAACTGACAATTGTGTGGTCATGCGATGCAGCACCCTAATGGCGTTTATGTCCTGGTTTTCAGTAAATAGAATCTCCTACTGTAAGTTCAGAAAAAGGGAAGATGTTTGTTTCCTGATGATGTCAAAGCGGTTCACGTTGTAGACTACGAGCAAAACAGAACCATGTGACCCGAGGCTGCAGCCCCCATAAGAGGTCCAGTGAACAGCGATCATTCTGGGATATTCGCGCTATAAGAATCAAGGTTAACCCCTCGCCCTCCAGGGGATTCCCCCCTCCCCCTCCCTTTCCTGACCAGGCCGTTTTTTTTTGCTATACGACGCTGCGTTACTTTAACTGACAATTGCGCGGTCATGCGACTCCGCTCCCAAATGGCGTTTATGTCCTTTTTTTTTTACAAGTCCATTTTGGGTATTTCCACTGCTCTGTTAGTGAATGTAGAGCTGCATTAATTGTGTCTTTTACAGACAGGATCTTGAAGTTACCAATAAAAGTAGCATGGCGGCTAAATGGTTTGCACTCCCACATCGCAGTACTCGGGTCGTTGGTTCGAATCCCAGCCACGGCACCGCCTGCCTGGAGTTTGCATGTTCTCCCTGTGCTTGCGTGGGTTTCCTCCGGGTTCTCCGGTTTCCTCCCACACTCCAAAGACACGCTGGTAGGTGAATTGGCTCCTGTCTAAATTGGCCCTAGTATGTGTATGTATGAATGTGAGTTAGGGACCTTAGATTGTACGCTCCTCGGGGGTGGGGACTGGTGTGAATGTACAATATATATGTAAAGCGCTGCGTACATTGATGGCGCTATATAAGTACCTGAAATAAATAAGTAGGGGAGCAGTAGTGACTACCAGGGGCGGACTGACCATTTGGAAACTCAGGCACTGCCCTAGGGCCCAGGGTCAGTAGGGGGCCCCATGAGATGCCCCTGGTACCTTTTTCATAGGCTTTTTTGAGTTTGGGCAAGGACACAGGGGCCCCATGATCCCCTATTGCCTGGGGGCCCCATAAGTTGTCAGTCCGCCCCTGGTGACTACTACAGTATGACCAGACCAGCTTTTTTCTACAATTGTCACTGATTCAGAGATTTCCCCTGTAGTACTTCTTCCTGCCACTAGATGTCCTCCGTCAGAAGGTCAGTGTTATGTGCCCTCCAGAGGATTCCCCCCCCCCCCCCTTCCTGACCAGGTCATTGTTTGCAATACGGCACTGCGTTACTTTAACTGACAATTGCGCAGTCGTGCAACGCTGTGCCCAAATGAAATTTACGTCCTTTCTCCCCCACAAATAGAGCTTTCTTTCGGTGGTATTTGATCCCCTCTGCGTTTTTTATTTTTTGAGCTATAAACAAAAAAAGGCCGACAATTTTGAAAAAAAAAAAACAATAGTTTTGACTTTTCTGCTACAAAACAAAATCCGGTAGGAAAAAATTGTAAAAATCAATCCATTTCGTCATAAATTGAGGCCAAAATGTATTCTGCTCCGTGTCTTCGCTAAAAAAAAATCCCAATACGTGTAAATTAATTGCTTTCCGTGAAAGTTTATAGCGTCTACAAATGGCGGTATAGATAATGGGATTATATTTTTTATATACTAGTAATGGCGGCGATCAGCGACTTATAGCGGGACTGCAGTAGGTATTTTGACACTGGGGGGGGGACTAACTTGGTCTTACTGACATTCCCAGTGACACCAATACATTGGTGTTGCTGACATTCCCAGTGACGCCAATACATTGGTGTTACTGACATTCCCAGTGACACCAATACATTGGTGTTACTGACATTCCCAGTGACACCAATACATTGGTCTTACTGACATTCCCAGTGACGCCAATACATTGGTCTTACTGACATTCCCAGTGACACCAATACATTGGTCTTACTGACATTCCCAGTGACGCCAATACATTGGTCTTACTGACATTCCCAGTGACACCAATACATTGGTGTTACTGACATTCCCAGTGACGCCAATACATTGGTGTTGCTGACATTCCCAGTGACACCAATACATTGGGTGTTACTGACATTCCCAGTGACACCAATACATTGGTCTTACTGACATTCCCAGTGACGCCAATACATTGGTCTTACTGACATTCCCAGTGACGCCAATACATTGGTGTTACTGACATTCCCAGTGACACCAATGTGTTACTGACATTCCCAGTGACACCAATACATTGGTGTTACTGACATTCCCAGTGACGCCAATACATTGGTGTTGCTGACATTCCCAGTGACAACAATACATTGGTGTTACTGACATTCCCAGTGACACCAATACATTGGTCTTACTGACATTCCCAGTGACGCCAATACATTGGTCTTACTGACATTCCCAGTGACACCAATACATTGGTCTTACTGACATTCCCAGTGACACCAATACATTGGCGTTACTGACATTCCCAGTGACACCAATACATTGGTGTTGCTGACATTCCCAGTGACACCAATGTGTTACTGACATTCCCAGTGACACCAATACATTGGCGTTACTGACATTCCCAGTGACACCAATACATTGGTGTTGCTGACATTCCCAGTGACGCCAATACATTGGCGTTACTGACATTCCCAGTGACACCAATACATTGGCGTTACTGACATTCCCAGTGTCAGTGCTAGAAAACAGCACTGACACTGTACTAATGGGCAGGAAGGGGATTAACATGACGGGCAATCAAAGGGTTAACAGTGTGCTGGGTGTGTTTTACTGTGCAGAGCCATACAAAGCAGTGTGCTGGTGCTGACAGGGGAGAGATCTGTATTGTTTACATACAGACCTCTCCCCTGTCAGTGTTCCTCGGCGTGTCCTGTGCACATGGGGCCTAATCATTTCAGGTACTTCCAAAAGGAAGGCCATTTAATATGCAAATTAGCAGCGTGGTTGACGTTCCTACAAATGTTGCGTCTCAGCTTCTACGTTGCGTCACGTCGAATGACGGCGAAGGCCATGGAGGAGCAGAAGCGGAAACGCAGCCATTACATCATAGGAGCCTTGTAAACGGAACACGCGCCTTTATCTCCGCTCGGCTCCTCGTCCCGCGACACGCAATACGCGGCTACCTTATGATTAAACCATCATCCCGATGTTATTAGTAATCAGCGCAGTGCAAACAACCGGGAGCGCCGGTAATTAGGGACATTTGTCCAGAGTGTTGGGTCCTTTGTAACAGCTCGCTTCCCTTCCCGACTTATTTTGCACTGCCTTTTATAATATCTATATAATTTGTTTAATTCATCACATGCGTACACACACCCGCCATGTAATTACTGCTTCCTGCTGGGCGGCAGTAGGACAAATAGGGACACGGGAGACAAATATCATCGCCTCCTTCCTTTAAAGTGAGGGAACAGAAAGTTTGGCGTTCTATTCGGGAGATGCCGATGAGCGGGAGTTCCGGTGATGCAGAGGCTGCAGTTGAACCCAATCCGGGCGATATTTTTTTTAATGAGCGCCCCTTTTGTGGGTAAAAAAAAAAAAATTAAAAAAGGCAGCACTGGCTTCAATCCAGAGTTTTTGTTTTGCAATTCGCTTAAAAAGAACACTGCTAATATACCGCATGAGCTATTTCTTCAAGGGATGCAGAGTTTTAGCATTGAAAAGTTTCGGTATGTTAACATTGGCACCCGCCGGCGTCCTTAGCAACCAGGGAATAACCACGTTACCCCTTTGTTTATTTAAGAATGGGTGGGAAGTAGACCTGTCATTCAGGGGGGGTAAGCTTCAGGTGCAGACCTTTTTTTGTGGGCGGTATTCATCGTGATTGACGCTGGATTTACTTCAGGGGACTTTTTTTTTGTTTGCTTTTTTGAATAATAGACTTTTTACTTTAGCCATCCCCACTAACAGCAGATGAGTCATGGTTGTCACAGACAGGGCAGGTGTCGGCTGCTTAACAATCAGCTATCCACTGGTTGTTAAGGACCTGCTGGGTGTCGGCTCCTTAACAATCAGTTATTCACTGGTTGTAAAAGATGTGGTTCTCAAAGACGTGGTGGATGCCGACTCCTCTACAACCAGCTATCCACTGGTTGTTAAGGATGTGGTGGGTGCTGCTTCCTTTACAACCAGGTATTCAGTGGTTCTTAAGGACATGGTGGGTGTGGCTCCTTTACAGACAGCTAATCACTGGTTGTTAAGGACATGGTGGGTGACGGCTCCTTTGCATCCAGCTATTCACTGGTTGTTAAGGACGTGGTGGGTGCTAGCTCCTTTACAGTCAGCTAATCACTGGTTGTTAAGGACACAGTCGGTGCCAGCTCCTTTACAACCAGCTATTCAATGGTTGTTAAGGCTGTGGTGGGTGCTGGCTCCTCTACAACCAGCTATCTACTGGTTGTTAAGGATGTGGTGGGTGCCACTTTCTTTACAACCAGCTCTTCACTGTTTTTTAAGGACATGGTGGGTGCCAGCTCCTTTACGGCCAGCTAATCACTGGTTGTTCAGGATATGGTGGGTGCCAGCTCCTTTACAACCAGTTATTCAATGGTTGTTAAGGACGTGGTGGGTGCCGGCTCCTTTACGGCCAGCTAATCACTGGTTGTTAAGGACACAGTGCGTGCCAGCTCCTTTACAACCAGCTATTCAATGGTTGTTAAGGATGCGGTGGGTGCTGGCTCCTCTACAACCAGCTATCTACTGGTTCTTAAGGACGTGGTGGGTGCCACTTCCTTTTCAACCAGCTATTTACTAGTTTTTAAGGACATGGTGGGGGCGGCTCCTTTACGGCCAGCTAATCACTGGTTGTTACGGACATGGTGGGTGCCAGCTCCTTTACAACCAGTTATTCACTAGTTGTTAAGGACGTGGTGGGTGCCGGCTCTTTTACGGCCAGCTACTCACTGGTTGTAAAGGACACAGTGGGTGTTGGCTCCTTGACAATTAGCTTTTCACTTTTTGTTAAGGACTTGGTGGGTACCGGCCCCTTTAAAACCAGCTATTCACTGGTTGTTAAGGATGTGGTGGGTTCCGGCTCCTTCACAACCAGCTATTCAATGCTTGTTAAGGAGATGGTGGGTGCCAGCTCCTTTACAACCAGTTATTCACTGGTTGTTAAGGACGTGGTGGGTGCTGGTTCCTTTACAACCGGCTAATCAACGGTTCTTAAGGACGTGGTGGGCGCCGACTCCTTTACAACCAGCTATTCAATGGTTCTTAAAGGATGTGGTGGGTGCCGACTCCTTTACAACCAGCTAATCAATGGTTCTTAAGGATGTGGTGGGTGCCGACTCCTTTACAACCAGCTATTCAATGGTTCTTAAGGATGTGGTGGGTGCCGACTCCTTTACAACCAGCTAATCAATGGTTCTTAAGGACGTGGTGGGCGCCGGTTCCTTTACAACCAGCTATTCAATGGTTGTTAAGGACATGGTGGATGCCGGTTCCTTTACAACCATCTATTCACTGATTGTTAAGGTCGTGGTGGGTGTCGGCTCCTTTACAATCAGTTATTCACTGTTTTTTAAGGAGATGATGGGTGTGGCTCCTTTATTGCCATCTACTCAATGGTTGTAAAGGACGCAGTGGGTGTCGGCTCCTTAACAATCAGCTGTTCACTGATTGTTAAGGAGGCTGGAAGGTTCAGGCTCCTTGACAACCAATTGAAATTTCATACCTGTCCTTAAATATTGCATGTCTGGACCACTACTTATTTAACACATGCATTTATTTATTTACTTACTTTAGTGAATTGACCTTAACGCTGTTTTATGCAATATTTACCAAGCATGTCATTTCATATAAATTATGCTTGCGATATCCTTTAGTGAATCGAGCCCAATATCCCAATAGTGCATCTGGGGGGGGATTTTATTCCAAAAAATCTCAGGTTGTACTTGCAGTGGTTGGATCAGAAAACTCGATACCACACCAAAAAGTTCAATGCCAGAAAAAGAAAGAAATCTTTTTGGTGTGGCGCTCCAATCTTCTGATCCAACCTCTGGTGGAAGAGACCCTCAAAAAAAAAAGGCATTCCATGATTTTTTGCATCTTCTGAATTCATTAAAAAAAATGCTTGTAAACGCTTGTAAACGCGGCAAATTGCGTTTATAAGCATTTGTGTTTTAATTATTTTTTTAACTCTTCCAGTTGCCTATGCTGTCCAGAGCCCCTTTTCATCATGAAAAATGCATGCAAAGCGTTTTCAAGGTACTCAGATGGACAAAACACTGAACACAGGATGTTCCCACCAAGCTTGTCACACATTGTAATGACCAATTCACACCTCAGACCTCTCCCACCCTTGGAAACAAAAGATATGCTAATGACCATTCACACCTCAGACCTCTCCCACCCCTCAGATGGACAAAACACTGAACACAGGATGTTCCCACCAAGCTTGTCACACATTGTAATGACCAATTCACACCTCAGACCTCTCCCACCCTTGGAAACAAAAGATATGCTAATGACCATTCACACCTCAGACCTCTCCCACCCTTGGAAACAAAAGATATGTTAATGACCAATTCACACCTCAGAGGTCTCTCACCCTTGGAAACAAAAGATATGTTAATGACCATTCACACTTCAGACCTCTCCCACCCTTGGAAACAAAAGATATGCTAATGACCATTCACACCTCAGACCTCTCCCACCCTTGGAAACAAATGATATGTTAACACCCATTCACACCTCAGACCTCTCCCACCCTTGGAAACAAAAAGATATGCTAATGACCAATTCACGCCTCAGACCTCTGCCACCCTTGGAAACAAAAGATATGCTAATGACCATTCACACCTCAGACCTCTCCCACCCTTGGAAACAAAAGATATGCTAATGACCAATTCACACCTCAGACCTCTCCCACCCTTGGAAACAAAAGATATGCTAATGACCAATTCACACCTCAGACCTCTCCCACCCTTGGAAACAAAAGATATGTTAATCACCATTCACACCTCAGACCTCTCCCACCCTTGCAAACAAAAGATATGTTAATGACCATTCACACCTCAGACCTCTCCCACCCTTGGAAACAAAATATATGCTAATGACCATTCACGCCTCAGACCTCTCCCACCATTGGAAACAAAAGATATGCTAATGACCAATTCACGCCTCAGACCTCTCCCACCCTTGGAAACAAAAGATATGCTAATGACCATTCACGCCTCAGACCTCTCCCACCATTGGAAACAAAAGATATGCTAATGACCAATTCACGCCTCAGACCTCCCCCACCCTTGGAAACAAAAGATATGCTAATGACCAATTCACGCCTCAGACCTCTCCCACCCTGGGAAACAAAAGATATGCTAATGACCAATTCACACCTCAGACCTCTCCCACCCTTGTAAACAAAAGATATGCTAATGACCAATTGACACCTCAGACCTCTCCCACCCTTGGAAACAAAAGATATGCTAATGACCAATTCACACCTCAGATCTCTTGCACCCTTGGAAACAAAAGATATGTTAGACCTTATTCATGCAATATACTTTAGTGAATCGAGCCCAATATCCCAATAGTGCATCTGGGCGATATGTGGGGTTTTTCTTCCAAAAACTCTCAGGTTGTACATGCAATGCTTGGATCAGAAAACTCGAATACCACACCAAAAAGTTCAATGCCAGAAAGAAAGACATTTTTTTGGTGTGGCCCTCCAATCTTCTGATCCAACCTCTGGTGGAAGAGACCCTCAAAAAAAAAAAGGCATTCCATTATTTTTTGCATCTTCTGAATTCTTAAAAAAAAAAAAAAAAAAGCTCATAGCGACATACGACTTATAAAGTACATGATCCATTAAACCCGCCATCTTTGATGGAAGAGAACGTATACATGGAGGCCACAAAGTTATTTTTTTTTGTAATAAAAAAAAAAAAAAAACACACACGGGCCGGCAAAACAAATTATTAATGTTTACATTTGTCTTGTGTAGAGTGCAATCCAAGAGAAAAAAAAATAAAAATAAAAATAAACCATTTTAAAATATCACCTCCGGAATGGATCATTAATCAGCGTGGTGTAGAGCTCAGTTTTAGCCGTGTACAATGCTGCCGATGAAACTGGTGACATTTATCAAGCAGGAAAACAGGAACAGAGAAGGAGAGAGGGGGAAAAATGTTAAATATAACTCGTTCGGTGCTACGCGGACACAATCCCCAGGACGGGTTGAACTAGATGCAGAGCGAGATTTCGGGCTGGAATGTAATTCAGGTAAAAAATGATATTTTATAGAAAGTGAACATACTGTAGCCGAGAACTTTCCCCAATCCTGCGATCCTCTATAAATCACATTAACATCGCCATTTTTAGGTGTACTTTGTGAAAACGAGAGAACGTTCCGCTCACCTGGCAAACCTCTGACGTCTGCGCAGATTTAACCCCTTTCCAGGGGCGGACTGAGAACTCATGAGGCCCCCGGGCAATAGGGGATCATGAAGTGACAGGAACCTGGAGCAGATTATGCATGAAAATTGACAAAAGTGCGAGTGAAGCTTTAGCTCTGTTACAGCAAGTCTATGGTGAACATTCCATGAAGAAATCAAGTGTTTTCGAATGGCTGTTTCCAAAATTTGAAAAAAAATGCACTTTTGACAATTTTCACGTAAAATTTGATGTTAATCCATTGCTCCAAGGAAAAAAATGTACCATCCCAACTGCTTCTGGACATTAATGACAATCCACATTGCCTGTTCCAGTAATGATTACAGGGTCTATATATGGACCAGCTGACCCACCTTGCGCCATGACATCAGGTACCCCCGCTGATTTATTTGAGGACTTTGTGAGGACCTTTTGATAAACTGACAGCCAATGGGCTGTGTCTGTGTCCTTAGGAAGCAGCATGGGCACTACTAGAAGGATTCTCCCACACTGCAGACCAGAGGAAAGAAGAATTGGGTCCCAGTTTGTCACATGCCCATGCTGTCAGGTATCACGGGAAGAAAGAAAAGCTGGATCACCACAGTTTCAGGCAACAAAGTCCTACAGACCAAAAGAAAGACTAACTGAGTCTCTGCCTATCACTTGACCACAGTTTCAGGTAACAAGAGTTGTCCCAAAGACCAAAGGAAAGAAGTCTAGGCCCCAACCTATTAGGTGACCATAGTTTCAGGTAACAAGGGTTGTCCTACAGACCAGAAGAAAGCAGAATTGGGTCCCAGTCTGTCACATGACCATGAAATGAGGTAACATGGGCTGTCCTACAGACCAGAAGAAAGAAGAGTTGGGTCCCAGCCTGTCACATGTCCATGCAGTGAGGGAACATGGGTTGTCCTACAGACAAGAAGAAAAATGAATTGGGTTCCTGCTTATCACTTGACCACAATTTCAGGTATCAAGGGTTGCCCCAAAGACCAGAGGAAAGAAGAATAGGTCCCAACCTATTATGTGACCATACTTTCAGGTAACAAGGGTTGTTCTACAGACCAGAATAAAGAAGAACTTGTCTCTGTCTATCACTTGACCACAGTTTCAGTTAACAAAGTCTTTCGTACACACTAGAGAAAAGAAGAATTTGGTCCCAGCCTATCACGTGACCACAGTTTCAAGTAGTAAAATTAGGTCTACAGACCAGAAGAAAGAAGAACCGGGTCCCTGCATATCACCTGACTACAGTTTCAGGTAACAAAGCTTACCCTACAAACCACAGGAAAGAAATGTTGGTTACCATACTATTGCCTAACCATAGTTTTAGGTATCAAGAGTTGTCCCAAAGACCAGAGGAAAGAAGAAATGGGTTCCTGCCTATCGTTTGACCACAGTTTCAGGTAACAAGAGTTGTCCCAAAGACCAAAGGAAAGAAGAATAGGCCCCAACCTATTACGTGACCATAGTTTCAGGTATCAAGAGTAGTCCCAAAGACCAGAGGAAAGAAAAAATGGGATCCTGCCTATTGTTTGACCCCAGTTTCAGGTAGCAAGGATTGTCCTACAAACCAGAAAAAAAGAATTTGGTCCCAGCCCTCCACCTGACCACAGTTCAGATAGTAAGGGTTTGCTTTATCATTGTTACGGGAAAATTTAAATTTTTGGGGTTGTATTTGGGATATGCAAAGAGAGATCACACTTGTAGGTATAACATTTATTTAGGTAATGACAGATAGAAATGTAATAATATTAGAAAATATAACAAGAACACTCAACCAAAGATGCCTTTTCTGCCACGGAGTCTCGCCAGCTTTCGTGGCATGGCACAATGATCAGACCAGAATTCATTTATAATGCAGCTCTGGAGACGAGGCTGAATATTCCAAGTTTTTAGCTGAGTTATGTACAGGACTTGTATGCAAGGAAATGGCCAACCCCCTTGAAAGAAACATGACCTTATAATGACTTGGTCAGTTTGTAATGACATTCCTTTGGTATAAGGTAACCAGGCTTTCGAGGCTTTCTAAGATGTTGTGAGACAACTTTAATAAAGATATATAAAATTACTCCATTAGGGTTGGCCTACAGACCAAAAGAAAGAAAATTTGGGTCCCAGGCTATCACATGATCACAGTTTCAGGAAACAATGGTTGTCCTACAGAACAGACAACAGACGAATTGAGTCCCAACCTGTCACTGGGAAATAGTTTTGGGTAACAAGTGTTGTCCTACAGACCAGACAACAGACAACTTGGGTCCCAACTTGTCACTGGGCAACAGTTTCAGGTAACAAGTGTTGTCCTACAGACCAGACAACAGACAAATTGGGTCCCAACCTGTCACTGGGCAATAGTTACAGGTAACAAGTGTTGTCCTATAGACCAGACAACAGACAACTTGGGTCCCAACTTGTCACTGGGCAATAGTTTCAGGTAACAAGTGTTGTCCTACAGACCAGACAACAGACAAATTGGGTCCCAACCTGTTACTGGGCAATCGTTTCGGGTAACAAGTGTCCTACAGACCAGACAACAGACAAATTGGGTCCCAACCTGTTACTGGGCAATAGTTTCGGATAACTAGTGTTGTCCTACAGACCAGACTACAGATGAATTGGGTCCAAACCTGTCACTGGGCAAACGTTTCGGGTAACAAGTGTTGTCCTACAGACCAGACAACAGACAAATTGGGTCCCAACCTGTCACTGGGCAATTGTTTCAGGTAACAAGTGTCCTACAGACCAGACAACAGACAAATTGGGTCCCATCCTGTCACTGGGCAATAGTTTTGGGTAACAAATGTTGTCCTACAGACCAGACAACAGGCAAATTGGGTCCCAACCTGTCACTGGGCAATAGTTTTGGATAACAAGTGTTGTCCTGCAGACCAGACAACAGACGACTTGGGTCCCAACCTGTCACTGGCCAATTGTTTCAGGTAAAAAGTGTTGTCCTACAGACCAGACAACAGACAAATTGGGTCCAAACCTGTCACTGAGCAATAGTTTGGGTAACAAATGTTGTCCTACAGACCAGACAACAGACGACTTGGGTCCCAACCTGTTACTGGGCAATAGTTTCGGATAACAAGTGTTGTCCTGCAGACCAGACAACAGACGACTTGGGTCCCAACCTGTCACTGGGCAATTGTTTCAGGTAAAAAGTGTCCTACAGACCAGACAACAG